ATTAAACATTTTGAAGTATTTTAAATATCATATATTCTGATCTGTTATGTCAATAAACCACTTCCCAGTAACTAGAACTAAATTAGGCACTTACGAAGGTTTATTTATGTTTTTCAAAGCATTAAAATTCCATATGGTAATTTGTGTTTTTTTTACTAAAGTAAATTCATGAAAAGATTCCTATCTCTCATAAGCACCAATAAAATTCTTGTCTACATAGTCAAAAAAATTAGAGCTCTTATGCAATTATCCAGGTAATTACCATGAAATTATTTTGTAATGAGGAAGTGATAAAAAAATTTTATCAAATAAAAGTAAAGAATTTGCTTCATTTCTCAGTTTTGAACTTCTAATTATGTTTGTTGCCAATTTCTTTCTGCTTTTAAAAATTAAACATTTCACTGGTGTCTATTATATGAAACAGCTTTGTTCACTGAAAAAATAAGCTTTAAATAAGAATAAACTGTCCATTCTCTCATCTGATAATAGTAGGAAAGGATGTTTTGCACAAACCTTGCCAGAGACAAATAAATTAAAATTTTTTACTTTCTGCATCTGGAAAGGAATTTTTTTATAAGTTTTACAGTTGGTTTTACATAATCTTGGCTGGGAAACAGCTATACTTTTGCTTCCTGAAATTGTCTTCTCCAATGCTAGAGAAAAACAGTTCCCTGATCATTAATTACTAAGCGAAAAACTCAACCTATAATTCAGATTCTTAGCACTTTTGAGTCTTGTTTAGTTTAGGTAAAAGCCTCCCCCCTTGGTGGTGGGAGGGAGTGATTTTTAGATCAGAAACTATGAATTTACCTTTTACTATTTTAATATATTACTCTGTTTTTCTAAATATTCATCATTATTTGAACAGTGAATGAAAACACATGACAGGAGTAGAAAATAAAGAAATGAACATGCCCCATGTTGATAGCTATTACATCCGGTGATTCCAAAGAAAGCTTTCAGAAAATCCTCTTCAGAGTTGCAATCTGAAGAAGGTGCTAACTGTATATCCCCCCACTGGTAACTGCGAAAAAGTGAAGGCCAACAGTAACTTTAGTCAACTCAAGATAAAACCTTGATTCCTTGATAACTTATAATGAATGATAGATTAAATAGCACCAGAAATGACATTAGAAAGGGCTCTCAAAATGTAACTCCTACACAATTTAGTTTAACAAAAGAAAGCTTTGGTTTTCATGTTTATAAGGTTTTTCTTGTTAAAAGACATAGGAAAGAACCTATATTTTTAAAATTCCTTTATGCCAATCAGTCTCTAATTTAAAAAAAAAAAAACAACTTTTTTTTTCTTTCTTTCAAGTTAGGAGCATTTTCCTAGTACAGAACATGCTTGTTATCTGATTAGGTGTTTCCAAAGGTTCACAGTTAAAAGGCTACATAGTGTAACAAATGTCATCCTAAAACATAAATTCAATCAGAAATAAAAATTCATAAATTGACCCCACCCAACTGTATCTGCCAACTTTAAGAATGACATCTATTTTAGCCCAGTCAACATTATCAGTCTCTAACTTATCACAGAAATTTGAACAATTCTGATGATTTGATATAATTACAATAAAATTAAGTTAGATCTACCAAAACTTTGGATTTTATTAAGTTGATCAAATTAACATTGGTAAACTTTAAATCCTACTCAACACCATGGACAAATGACAACTTGGCCAAGCTAGACTGCTTAAAATAAAAAAAAAACTAAGAATAATGACCTAACAGATAGTGCCAAAGAGAATTTTGAACAATGTATTAATAAAAGATATTTTTACAAGACTTATGTCCAAAAATATTTTTTGTAAAAATGACCACTTGAAATGAAGCATGTCACAACTTACAATGTTCATAAGAGTAAGCAAAGATATTCCTTTTGTAAAAAGATGAATTTTTTTTATAAATAGCTGCTTTTTGTAGATAAAGCCCTATGTTTTTCTACTTTTCATGGTGAATCTTTTAAGTAGATTTTATTTATTTATTTTTTTATTTTTTTAATTTAACATAGAGAGAGATTACAAGTAGGCCAGAAAGGCAGGCAGAGAGAGAGGGGGAAGCAGGCTCCCCGCTAAGCAGAGAGCCCGATGCGGGGCTGGATCCCAGGACCCTTAGATCATGACCTGTGCCGAAGGCAGAGGCTTAACCCACTGAGCCACCCAGGCACCCCTTAAGTAGATTTTAAAATAGAAGCATCCTACCTGTCAGTTTATCTCGGGAAAACAGGAACTTCCTACAGTCAGTCTTTCCTAACACATTTCAGTTTCATAAAAGTCAAGGAGAAGTTAATCTTCAGACAATCAACACCCTGAAATAAAATCTAATTACGCTAAATACCTGTATACCAAAAACCAACAAGTGTTTTGCTCCCTCCAAGGGATAAATGTTCCAGATGAGATTGAAGGTTACCTATACTTTTTAAATGACTACTGAATGCCAATTAACAGGTAATTCCAGAATATTTTTCTGTAACTCCTTGAGAAAATAAGAGACAATGTGGACTTCACCAGCATGGCAGACATCCACTAATTTTTGGCACTTAAAACCTAATCAAGATTTTTTGTTTGTTTGTTTTTTGTTTGCCAAACAAATGCCCCAGCTTAACTTCAGCCCCATTTCTTCCAAAAAATTGTCCTTATAGATTGAAATATGGGCACACTGGAAATGACCACCTTAACTAGCCTCTCAGTTGAAAAAACCCTCACAAACACCTAATTAAGCACAATTTTACTTTGCACCTGCCTGATTCCTACTAAGTCTTCCTCTGTGCAGATGGACAGAAACTGGAAGTTGTTAAACCCTTGCAGATAAAAAAAGACCACTGTACTACAGCTCAGCAGGGACAAATAGGTTTTTAAACATTTACAATACATGCGTTCAATAACTACTGAACCACATAACTCCAAAATAAAAATGAATGTATTTTTTCCATGACCTTTATGTCATTTTAGGTTTTCTGGTAAATAAAACCTATCTGTCTAGGGAAGCAAATAAACTCTTTGACCATTCTCAGAATTTAGAATTGCTTAACAAAAGCCTTATTAAAAACAAAACTTAAAACAAAAAACCTTCCATGGTGTGATTTAATCTTCGAGCAAATCAATTCAGATAAAAGCAAAGTAGGCACACCATAGTCTATGAGCTTCCTATTACAACTTCCTAATTACACACATATGTAGTGTTCACTTACACCCCCAGACATTATATGTATATACGTATGTATTTTTTCCACTTGATTATGTGCAAATTATGTCCCCAGATATTTACATCCAAGTTTAAGTCTTTTACGTATTTTGCAATAATAATAATATTTTATACACAACTACTACTTTGGGGAATATTTGACTGGTTCTGCTCAATTTTAAGTCCGAGGAACACTGATATGTCCTTTTAGCCATTTGGGAGCAAGTACTATCAGAAAGCAATAGCATGATACCTTTTATGATCATTTACAGGACAATTCAAAAACCCAGACATATTTACTTGCCTGTCAATCCAAGAAAGCAGCATTTCTTTTTTATTTTTTTTTTAAGATTTTATTTATTTATTTGACAGAGATCACACGTAGGCAGAGAGGCAGGCAGAGAGAGAGAGGAGGAAGCAGGCTTCCCACTGAGCGGAGAGACCGATGTGGGGCTCGATCCCAGGACCCCAGGATCATGACCCAAGCTGAAGGCAGAGGCTTTAACCCACTGAGCCACCCAGGTGCCCCGAAAGCAGAATTTCTTATTCTACCTTTTTAATGCTTCAGTTCATACTAAGGATCCAGATTCTAGATGTATTCTAATGACATTTTCCTATGAAGTTTAATAATAAGTTTAATATTCCTATACTGAGTCTACATACATGAGTCCATATTCAATGAGAAAAGAACGGGTGAACAAATATTACTCATGCAGTAGTAACAACTTTCCAATCTTAAGTAAATATTTTACAATGTTTATAGTATACAGACTTAAAATAGTCCTATCCTCAAAGTAGTGCTGGGAGACATTTACTCCTTAACTAGAGGATTATCTGTCTTTTTCCTTAGTTTAATACAGAACATCAGAAAAGGAAAAGAAAAATTCTGGTACTTACTGGGATACATAAAATAGAACTCAAAAGGAATAAACAGAAAACTGAATTCAAATATTTATGGAAAAGATACAAAGAACAGAGGTTGAGATACAATAGGTGATAAAGAGAAGAACAGTTTTAAAACTGGAACACAGTCATAGAGGTCATAGCAAGAAAGTAAGCTCAAGAATCCACAAAGAAGAATTTCTTTGAGGCTTGGATAAATTTCCTCAAGGATGAAATTTTGTTAAAAATAAAAGTTGAATTTCAAAGAAGGAAGCATAAGTATGAAGAGTTAAATCTGCATTGGGAAAAAAATTTGATATATTTATACATGGAATGTTACTATCCATCAGAAAGAATGAGGGGTAGCTCAGGTGGTTAGGCATCTGACTTGGTTTTAGCTCAGGTCATGAACTCAGGGTTGTGAGACTGGGCCCTGCATTGGGTTCCACACTGGGTATGGAGTCTATTTAAGATTCTCTCTCTCCCTCTGCTCTCCCCAACCAAATTAAAAAAAAAAAAAAAAAAAATGACTCTTGCCATTTGCAACAATGTGGACGGATCAAGAAAGCATAATGCTAAGCAAAGTAAGTCAGTCAGAGAAAGACAAATAGCATATGATTTCATTCATGTGTGGAATTTAAGAAACAAAACAGATAACTTAAGGGAAGGGAAGGAAAAATAAAATATGATAATAAAAAAGAGAGGGAAGCAAACCATAAAGACTCAACTATAGAGAACAAACTGAGGGTTCATGGAGGGAAGTGGGTGGGGATGGGCTAAATGTGTGATGGGGATTAAGAAGGGCACTTGTTGGGATGAGCACTGGTTATTATATATAAGTAATGAATCACTGAATTCTATTCCTGAAACTAATACTACACTATATGTCAACTTCAATTTTTTTTTTTAAATATTTGCATTAATTTACTTACTGAAATAACAACAACAGGATATAAAATGGAAAGATTACTCTCTTCAAGCATGTTCAGTAACCTCTGGGTTTCCTCAAAATCAGAGGACAAAACCTGAAAGACCAGAAAAATAAAAGTGAAAAGAAGTTCTTAAATGATTTAAAAGTTAATCCAAGGATAATTAAAAATTAAAGGGGAAAAAAATGGAGAACTTTCACATAAACATCCAAAACATTTACCAAACTTAGTTTTCACTTTTTGAAAAACTTTAAAGGATACCCATAAGGTCCTACCTATTAAAATTTGAACTAGTCATTAATTCAAACATGTTTCATCTTACCTGCTTCATACCAGGTGACTGAAAATGGTGTCTAAAGAAATGTCACCCTATTCTCTTATCCCGCCTCTCTAGCTTGTTAGAAAACATTATTTTCCATTTCTAAAGTTAAAAAACAAAACTTCCAAATACATACTGAATAACAGAACTCATCTATCAGAACTTAAAATCAAATAATTAAGAATCAAGAAAAAATTATTTTCCACATTACACTTATACAGAGGCTCAAGTGCTTTCAATCATTTAAATTCACTACTTACATTCACACAAACATAATTATAGCATTGCTCTAAGATGATTTGCTTAAGATCTCTGCCCGCAGGACACAAAGCCCCAGACGTGACTTCTACATGCTAGGAGGGAAAAAAAAAAAGAAGAAAAAGGAGTTTATAAACTAGATAGGAAGACCAAACCAGAACCTAAATGACTGTTAAAAATGAGCACAAAACTGCTAAAGACACACAAAGCCAAGAATCATATATAAAAACAACATAATTCATGCAAAAGTTTATGAAGCTACCGAGAAAAAGGCATTTGAACTAGTCCATGACTAATGATTACTATTTTGGTAAACACAGATAGAGCTAAAGGAAATAGTTTTAAATTAAAAAAGGTATAGGGTATATGCAGGGACAACCAAGTAACTGGTTTTTCTTATTCAAAGGATGTATTGCAGAACATGGTGGATAATTATTAAAAGGTTGGTTAGACAGGGATTGTTGGATGATTCTGAAAACATGTTAAATTCTACAGTTACATAGATGTAACTAAACCTGTAAAGACTAGAACCAGGAAAAGCTGTTAAGAAATTATTATAGCGTAAGACAGAGAAATAAGACTTGAACTAGGACAATGATAGCAAGAGATGAAGAGATTATTACTAGAGGTGGTCCCAGACTAGAATTAGAATAGCACATATATTACAAAAATTTCCCTAATTGGGGGCACCTGGGTAACTTGTGATTTTGGCTCAGGGGATGATCTCAGAGTTGTGAGACAGAGTCATCATAAGAGCTCCCCACTCAGTGGGAGTCTGCGTCAGATTCTTTCTCCTTCTCTCCCACTCCTTCCCCGCTGCACACACTCTCTCAAATAAGATCTTTAAAAAAAGAAAAATTTTCCTAACATTTTTATTCCATATAGCTCAATATTCTAATTAACTTTCATTTTTTTCTTATGTCAATATGAACAAAAACTTAATTATTAAATTATTATTAATTAAATTTAATAAAACTTAATTATTAAACAAGGGACGTTTTTTATCTATACTATTGTAATTCCCCAAAAAGTCACATTTCCATGGTTAGCACTGGCATTACACTTACAACTCTTTCAAATCTACAATTCTAATACAAAGCTTGTCACTTAGTAAAACATTAAACCCTGTACTTTTAAGAGCATTACATAGTAAGTAGGATTCATCCGAATTCTATGCAGTTTTGACATAGTATTAGAGAAGGGGAAGTAAAGATTTTGAGGTCTTAGCAATGCTAGAAATTAGTTGGCTCATGAATTTTAAGACTTTTCTTTCAGTTTAAAGTTCTTACTGAGGGGCACCTGGGTGGCTCAATCAATTAAGCATCTGCCTTCGGCTCAGCTCATGATCCCAGGGTCCTGGAGTCAAGTCCCAAGTGGGGTTCCCTGCTCAATGGGGAGACTGTTTTTCCCTCCCCTCCTCACTTGTGTTCTCTGTTGCACTCTCTCTCTCTCAAATAAATAAAATCTTAAAAAAAAATAAAGTTCTTATTGAGTACAAAGTTCAGAGAGAACATTAAAAAAATTAACAAAATAGTTTCATATGCATCAGCCATATATCGATAATAAAATATGGAAGAAACTGGATTTCATTAGGCAACATTAAGTTTGTTCAAGGAATGGCATCTTCTAGATATTACAGGGAGACAATTTTGCAAGGGGTTTCTCATATACCCAAATATTTTCAAAGGCATTAATAGCTAATTTACTCCAGATTGACTTTTTAAAGATGTTTGCATAGCAGGCAGATTTGCAAAGATAGGTACATCTCTTCCTGGAGCAAATTTGCTTATGTTCCAGAAAATAAAGGTAGAGTCATCTCTCTCCCTGGGGCAGATCTGCTTGACATTCCAGAATAATAAAGACAATGTCTCTTTTGTAACAGGAGGATGTGCTGATTTGCTCACAGTCCCTCAATTACAAGTGCTCCCCAATATCAAGATTCTTCTTTAATGCACCCCATTGGGACTGCACCTAGTTATAACTACATTTCCCTGTAGAAACTGCAATTCGGAAATTCATTGCTACACTGTCATTATGCTTCTTAATGCTACTGCTGTAACAAATTGTCTTTCCTCTGACCACAGAGAAAAGGTCTTACCCTAATACTTAAGGTATTAGCAAGAATGTGTGCATGCAAGTACCATATAATTCCTCAGATCCTGCCAAGTTTGACTTAACAGATGTGAAATAAGACAATCATATCATCAGTTATTAACTTCAACAAATATGAGTGAAATTTGAATTTTAAAAAATGAATTAATTAAAAAATTATTTTGCATATACAGAAATAAGGTCTAGGATGAGAACATGAGAGATATTTAGCTTTGTGAGTACTGAAATGGAGAAAATTCTTAAGGACAGGGTTGAGACCCTTGAGTACAAAAACATCCTGTTTTTACCATTAGCAAGTACTTAATAGGTATTTTAAACTTACGAAATTTTTTTTAAAGAAAAAAATCATTTCAAGAAAAACCGTCTGTGTTCTTAAAACCAACAACTTGGAAAAGATTTAAAAAAAAATCCAAAAATACCACTACCTACCTAATAACTTCAAAATTAGATAAACACTATTCCCACAATATTAACATATGCAGTAGGACAAAAGGATGCAGAAACAAAAGCAATAATACATTCTAATGAGGTGACTTTTGTGCCTTTTTTTTAACTAGTTAGGAATGAAAAAAGAATAGAGTAAACCCGAAGATGATGCTAAGCTTCAGATCACTTTTCACTTCCAGAGAACTAAGCTTCTAAATGTTAAGAAAAGGTAACATGGAGAAGATTAAGACATGGGATTTTGAATAGCAATGCATTTCATTTGTCAGTATTTGTTGACCTCCTTCTATGAGAGGGAAACAAATAGCACATTTTAACTTCTACCTCAAGCCTGGTTCTGGTCAATCATATTGTTTTTACCCAGACAAGATTTACGAGATTCAAATTCTATTCTAGAACTGTAATACCCACAATGTAGACATATCTATATCCCAAAACACTTTTTATACAAAATTTCTCCATTTCTAAGTTCTTTGTTTTAATTCACTTCTTCATGTGATTAACTTTATCTTCAAGGAGTTTGTGTAATTGGTTTTATTTTTTATAAAACTTTGACATTTTTACGTTGAGTTTTTGCCTTTAGACTCAAAGAAGAGCCTGTTTGGGAATAAAAGTTTGGTTCATTCTCCCCCTCACAGATTTGTAGTCACTGTTCCATGATCCACAAGCATCATGTCCTATCCTGAAACTTATATTCCATTTATCGTTCACTTGTTCCCCATTCATTATGTAACCTGGTCGATATCAACATCAGTAGTTCTTAATAATACATGTAGACACTGTATTTTATTATTCCTCTCATCATCTTTATAACAGACAATTTGGCTGACGGTCATATTCTTGGATTCCACTTGCATTCCCTCCGAAGTTCATAGGCACAGCTTCACTGTATTTGGATAGCGAATACTGTGGAGATGCAAGAGGTCAGGCAGAGTTTTTCTTTAAGTTTTGATTTTGTGTTTTTCCTCATAGGTCCTTATCTGAAGAACTCTTCATGAGGAAATTCAAAATCCTCACCAAAATCAGCACATGCTTACTTAGCAGTTGTTATTTCTAAATTTTTCCCAGGCTATGTCCATTTGGTATTACAAAATCAGTCATTTCAAGGAAATATTCTTCTGGTTTAGGAAATAAGCATTATCCATATGTTGGATGCCGTTAGCACCATTCACATCTATTCTCTTTAATTTCTACTTAGAGCACTCTGTAATTATCTCAAGTTTCCCACTATGATGATAACCTCATATCAGTTATATTCTAATTCTCATCTGCTAAATAGTTCTAAAAGAGTGTTGCTCTAGTCTTAATTTTATTTCCTCTGATAACTGTATTAATCTCTTTCAATACCATCTTTGAATTTTGTTTTTAACCTTCTCTTGAATTCAAATTTTTACCGAATTCTACAGAACTAAAGGTATGACAATATTTTCTGGGTAAGGAAAGCCTTGATGTTTCTTTCATATTTTTAAAATCTGATTGGCATGTGCTGCAATTCTTTTTTAGTATGAATTGTGCAGTTCCGTAATTTTTTTTTCACAAGTTGCAGAGTTAAAACATCGTAGACACTGAAAATTTTCCCTGCCTCTGCTGCTATATCACAAAGATTTAAGGGATTTTCTCTTTTTCCTGACCTTGATTTCAGTGTCAATGTGCTCTTCCTTCAATTATAACTTAAGAATTGTCTGGATAATCATCATTGCCCTTTTACAATGTCTTGCAGATCCATGGGTGGGGTTTAAAAGATGAGCCAGATCAAGGTTCCTGTAGATTCAGGGACCCGCTTTGTGATTCAAATACAACAGTTTTTCCTGCTGTGTCATTACAGGATGGTAGAAGCGAGGGAGCTCTTGGGGGTCTCTTTTGTAAGAGAACTAATGCCTTCGTGAAGGCTCCACCCTCATGACATAATCATCTCCCAAAGGCCCCACCTCCTAACACCACCACACTGGGATAAGTATTGCAACATTTAAATTGTGGGGGAGAACACATTCAGTCTATAGCACTTGCATCTTACACATTCTCAAAAAAAAAAAAAAAAAGTGTCCAATAAATGTCTGGAGTATTTTAAGATTAATACTCCTAAAACTGAGCTTCATTTCATTTTTTTTCAATGCAAAACATTTAAGAACATAAAATTACATATATACCTGTGTTTAGATTAAATCTCAAATTGTAAAATTGTTCTTAAAGTCGTCCATAATCTACTTTTATTCTGTTCAAATCTTAACCATCCAACTTTACTTATCAACACAACATGTCAAAAAAAAATATTTTTTATAGTCACTGTCTTCTATCATCACAAACACTGGACTCTTTCTTGTCCGTGATGGCTTCAGCCCATACTGACTTCAGGATATACTTGTTTCCTTGTTAAAGCTTTGTTTCTTAAATTAACAGGCAATAAATAAAACATAAGCTGTTAGAGTATGAGATATAGATATATGCAGGCACAGTACCCAGCAAATATTAACTTTTGTTGTTATTAAATATATTTCTTCTACTATTATTTCATGAATTATAACCAGTTAATAAAAGCGTC